GTAACAGGCGCTCGAGAGCGATCAGTCCTTTTTCTACCTCGCTACCTGAAGTGTCCTGAGAGAATTTTGCTAACCTGTTTCTTGGTACTGGAGTTTTGATTGGATTGCGCCACAGAAGTGAGTAGTGTGTTTGTAATGAGTGGAAATTTTATATTTTTTTAGTATCATCATTTCGTTTTCCAGCATGAAATTGTCAGGAATCGCTTGCTGTTAGATTGCTCAGAATTATGTATTATTTTTTTGTAGATCGAATAAAAACCAATTAAAAGGATTATACGATTCCGTGTCCAATCAATTACTCGCGGGCCATTATCCTCCACGATCCAGAACCTCACCTTAAAGCAGCAGATGAGCACTACTTACCAGCGATGGCTGTGTGATGAGAGTAAATGCAAGCAAAGACCAAGATTTCAGCACAGAATTCAATACTACAGTGCATGACCTCTGGTTTCTTCTTCAGCTGTTGTTATGTATTCGGTCCCGGGATAATCAAGCCACTTTGAAAAATAGAAACTCGCTGTATTGTTTATCCTCGTGTTGTTTGAATATAGGACCAGCCATGTGGACTTTGTCTTGCCTCAACAGCTCGATCATTTCAAATTCACTTTGAGCTCTCCTTGTTCGCACTTTGTAAAAATTTCTGAATTTTCCATCTTCTTCACATTCGGATAACAAATACTTTAACAGCGCATCTCGAAACAACCCAGCGGCCTCTTGTCAAAGGATTCGTTGGAAGGGGAGGTTAAATACAGAGGCCTTTCAATCCAGGCTATGGTGAGATTCTGGTAAAGGGGTATTCTTTTCTAAAGGCGTGTCGATGACTTGGTTTCCGCCGAAAAACGTCGGAAATTAAATGAAAACCCGCAATTCCAATAACAGATGCAAGTATTTTTAACAAGTACGCCACTGAAGATCTATAAATGGCAATAAAATTTGTTTTCTACATTTTGAATCGACTTATTGGTAATTGAAATAAGTGTGGTAACGACCTCTTTTCATGCACTTTGCGGAAGCGATCCAAAGTTTTACGTTTAAATGAAGTATGCGTTAGCTCCTCATTTGATCAGTTGACCATACAACTTACGGCTTAATATTAAAACCGTTTTTTTGCGTGACGGTCCGACTTAGGAGGCGGTTTTTT